TGCTATAAATAAGAAACTCTTTTCTAAGTGTTCTACTTATTCAATATCAATTTAAGATAAAATTTCTTTAATTGTTCTTTCTAAATATGGATAGAATTCTTCTCTAGTATCCTTTATTAAGTAGGGTAAGGTATCTAATACTAAATTTTTGCTACTCTAGAATAATAAAAATTAATACCTTTTCTTTTAAGTAAATGTAAGCAATATCTAGTAATTGTTTTAAATTAACTAAAATTTAAGGCAAAGATTATGCATAATTGTATGACTCATTCATATATTTTTTTTCCATTAATGTAGCTGTAAATATAAATGATATGCATACATAAAGCACTTCGTTTCAACTCAATAATGTCTCTAAAATAACAACCAGATATATCTGATTTAGTTTCAATATGAATATCTTCAATTCTACGTTAAAGATTAATATCAATTTCTTCTCGCTATTATTTTGTGGTTTTGAATCTGTGTCTTTTATCAACTTTTTCTTCAAGATGATAGTGACGAATAACTCTAGCTGCTTACTTTGGTTCCTATAGTGTTTCTTTTTTTGATTGACGCTTTGTAGGAATATATTTAACCATAAATTAATAATTTATGAGTGTATGAACATAATATTTCTTTTTTTAATGAACATTTTATATTAATCTTAATCAATTATTTGTTGATATTACTAACTTTCAAGATTAATATAGAGTAGATAATTATAATAGATTAGGAATGAATATTGATTTTATATATAATAATAATAACAAAATGACTTTTTTGACCATATATTTATTTATTCATAATTCAAAGGAATTAGGATGGATATTTATATTTGGATCCTAATGAATTGGTATATTTTTATATAAAACAATATTAATACATTTTTAAAACATAAATAATAATAAAATTTTCATATTGATTTTATATAATTGAAGATATAAGAGAGATTAATGTGAAAGTTGAAATTTAATGATAGGATATACATAGCTAAATAATATGGAGCATTATAACGCATGATTAATGCGGCTAAAAAATATAATTAATAATTAAAAACAGGCGGGTAATGCAATAAGAAGAATAACTAAAGAGAAAATCAAAGTTAGTGATAGATAACGTAAATATTCATTTGAATGTAGTCAGATGAAGAGGACATCTACAAAAAAGTGAAATTAGAAGATCCATCTAATTCTGAGGAAGAAGAGGATGTTGTGGATGTAGAGGAGTTGGAGGAATCAGAAGAGGAAGAAAAAGGAAAAAAAAACAAGAAATAAGAGATTATTGAAGTAATATTTAGAAATATATCAAATAGGATGAAGATTATATATATGTTGACAAATTGCCTAATTCTGAATCAATGTTGAGAGATTTAAAAAAGTAAATAGAGCAAAAAATAAAACACTATAAAATGAGATATATTCAAGAATTTCATGAGAATCATACAAAATAAAGTTTTGTTCATAATGATGCCATTCCAATATGTACTGATGTTAGATTAATGGATTTTTAAGTAAATTTAAATTCATGATAATTTAAGAAATTAAAAGATGAGTAATTGAAAATTGCAGGATAATTATTTGATGTAATAATGATGGATCCACCCTGGTAATTATCAAGTTCATAACCATCAAGAGGAGTTGCAATTGCTTATTCTTCTTTGGCTGATGAAAATATTAGTAAAATGCCTATAGAAACATTATAGGAGAATGGTATTATTTTAATATGGTAAAATTATAAATTTATTATTAAGGACTATTAATGCTAAATATAAGGTAACATGTAAGTTAATTGAATAATGGGGTTACAAATTAATTGATGAAATCATATGGTGTAAGAAAACTGTAAATGGAAAAATTGCTAAAGGTCATGGATTTTATTTATAACATGCAAAAGAAAATTGTTTAGTTGGTGTAAAGGTAATTATTTATATTATATAAACTAGGGCAACATAAATTTGGATCTAAATAGATTTAGATAAGGTGTTGCAAGTGATATTATATTTAGTGAAAGAAGAGGATAAAGTCAGAAACCAGAGGAAATATATTAATATGTCGAATAACTAGTTCCAAATGGTAAATATATCATAATATTAAAGGATATTATTTAGAGATATTTGGGAGAAGGAACAATGTTAGGAAAAATTGGGTAACAATCGGAAATGAATTATGATGTTGTTTCTATTTATGAGTTATTTTAATTTCAATTTACATCCATAGATACTTAAATTATTATTATATTATCAATTAAGTATGGGCTGTATTTGTAGTGCTTAAGCAAATTAATAATCAATCAAAACAAAGATTGTAATTATTGGATTGGAATAAAGTGGTAAAACAGCCTTGTTCGAATATATTAAACGAGGTAATTTCGTTGAAACGCAACCAACTGATGGTAAGGATTACAATTATATGATAAGGATATAATGTAGATTTTAATAATAAGGACTTTTTAATATTTGATTTAGCAGGTAGAACACCAAGTTTATGGTAGCATTATTATGAAAATACTGATGGGATAATATTTGTAATAGATTCTTCTAACAAAGAAAACTTATAATAAGTTAAGGAGTAGCTTATGAAATTAAATCAAGACATTGAATTTTTGAATGTAAAATGAAATTTTTATTTAGATAGGAGTTCTTATTATGTTTACTAAATCAGATTTAGAACATATTAATTGTAAGGCCTTTTTGGATGAGTGTGGAGTCTTAAAGAACTTAGAATAAGAAAAAGCTTGGTAGATGTGTAGTTCTAAAACTGGAGAAGGAATTGAAGAAGGAATATAAAAGCTAATGCTCTTAATTAAGAAATAATATACAAGACCTTAGAATTAGCAGAAAGTCTGATTACGTTTTGATTAATTCAATATAATATATAATAAACCTAAAAATCAAAAATTTAATAAATGACGAATATTGAGTAGAAAAGTGCTTTTTTTATCAATTCATTATTGGTAGGAATGATTTTAGTGGGTACATTTAATACTTTAGTCTATAAGTATTAAAATACAACAGTAATTGATGGAGTAACATTTATACACCCTTATATGCAAGTATTAGTAATATTAAATAATAGGCTTTATGTATGTTTGTAGGGGAAGCAACTTGTTTAGTTTTTTACTTTGTATTTTAAATGAAAGCTGAGAAAGATCCAAATAAAGAAGATGGAGGATTTAAGATATTGTCAATACCAGCATTATTTGATGGGATTACATCATCTTTGCAACATGTCGCCTTAAATTTCATTCCGTCATCTATTTATTAAATGTTAAGAGGAGGAGTATTATTATAAACATCTAGCTTATGATAGTGACAGCCGCATTTTCAAAATTTGTACTAAAGAAAAAATTGTCAAATTAGCAATAATTTGGAATTCTTTTGGCCATACTAGGTATATTCATTGTAGGATTGTCAAATTTTCTATTTAGAAAAGCAACAACTGATGATTTTAGTTGGGAGATAAAATTGATATCAATAGCTTTAATCATAGTTTCTCTTTTCACTTAAGCAGCTCAATATATATTTGAAGAAAAACTATTTTAATAATATAATTATCATGTATTTTATGTTGTGGGTGTTGAAGGAATGTGGGGATTATTATATTTCGGTATTGTGATGCCCATACTCAATTTTATACCATGCAATTTTAAAGAAGGATGTGTATTTAGAAATGATTAAGGATATTGGGAATGTACAGATGTATTCTTCGAATAATTAGGAGCAGATGTATGGTTAACAGTATCTGTTGTTATGGGTATCTTTAGCATAGCACTTTTTAACATATTTGGTGTTAATGTCACTAAGTATGTTTCTGCTTTAACTCGTACTGTTGTTGATACTATCAGAACAATATTGATTTGGGGTATTGGTCTAATAGTCACTGCTACAACTTCTAGAGTATGGGAAAATACATCAAAGTGGGCTAATTTGATTGAATTGATAGGCTTTGTTTTATTGGTCTTTGGAAATTTAATATATAAGGAAATGTTAAAAGTTAAATTTCTTTAAAATAAAAAGCAAGTCTTAATAGAGGAATAATGACTAAAATAAAAATTATTTAAAATATATTTCCAATTTAATATATGATCGATATCAAATTTATCCTGCTTATCTAACACTAGAAGTGCCTGTTCTTACTGTTGATCTTGTAACTGTTGTAGTTGCAGTGGCTGCCTAGTATATTAATTTTTTTATACTCTAGCTTTCTCCTTCTTTAAGGCTTCTAATTCGATTTCGACATTCATTAACTTCTCTTAAGCCTCATTATAATCATGATTCACTTCTTAGAACTTTCTCTTCCACACTTCAACTTCACTATTATTCTAAGTCACTCTTTCTGTTATCAAAGTATTCTCTTATGCTTACTATAATTCTAATTGTAAATGATAATTTTCATCTTCAAGTTCTTTAATCTAAGAATTATATAATATTTCTTACTCTTGCATAATCTATTTCCTTTACTACTTTGATTTCTTTCTTTTTTTCCAACTCTTTTATAACTGATTGCAGATAAAGACATTCCTCTCTCCATGGTTATTCTATTTCTTCTCTTGATACTATAACAACAGAAACAACCATCTATTATTTTGTACAGCATTAAAATTCATTATTGTTATCAACCTATGATTGATTTATTCCACTTCCAACATTATTTATTTGAAAACTCTGTCCAGGATTTATAACAGAACATGATCTGTAATTTGTATTTAAAACTCTGCTGGCATAAGAATTATATTTCTCTTTTTTATGCCAAAATTAATATGCCTCAGGTCTCTCTATTTTCTTAACTGCATAGTCTTCTCTCAACAATGTAGGTTCAGTTGTGTATGATGTATACTGTTGATTACAATTAATTATACTTATTTAACTGTCGCTGGTTGCTAAGTTGTTAGTTGTCTCTCTATAAATGATTCTTATTTCGTTGAAATAAATGTACTCATATCTTCAAAAAAGAAAAAAATTAATTCACAATAAATTTATATATTAATTTGTTAATGAAATTTCATTCAATATATAATAATCATTACATTTGCTTCGCTTCCTTAGCATTCTCTGGTTTCTCTACTGGCTTTTAACTTTTCTATTTAATGATTTCTAAAAATTTTGTATTAACATACCTTATGCTAATCGAATAAAACTATTTTCAATATTCTCGCCAGAATAAGCACTTACTTCTTCATACAATAAATTGTTCTATTAAGCAAAGTCTGAAGCATAACCTGAAGATACTTTTCTAAAATGATTTATTATAATATTTATCAACCTTTGATCTTCATTTTTATCAACTAATTCTTTTTTATTTCCAATAATCATAATAACTAGATTTTCTTCAGTTTAAGATTTGATATCTGCTATCCATTTACCTAAGCTTTCAAATGTTTACTCATTAGTAATATCATAAACTAAAATTGCTCCTAAGGATTTTCGATAATGACTCTTATAACTGTTATTTAATACCAACTAGTTATTGATCTATAACGTTCCTAACCTGCTGTATCCCAAATCTATAGTTTTATTTACTCATTTTCTGATAAGGTAATTATTTTTGTGGCGAACTCAACGCCTATGGTTGGATGTGATTGTTTAGCTAAACATCCTCTTACAAATCTTTTTATAATATGAATGTTCACCTATTAACTATTTCAGTTTTTCCAACCTTTGAATCACCAACCAAAATAACTAATAAATTTAGATTTTTTGTTTACTCTTAAACAATTACAATTCTTATGGCGTATCCATTAATATATTTATATTATTTAAATTAGAAAATATTCTAAAAGTTAATTAAGAATAATTTAAATGTGTGGCTTGTATATTTTTTAAATACTTTATTCAATTATAATTATATATATTAAAAATAACAATAAAATTGACATGTTATTTATATTTATACTAACAAAAGTTAATTTATATATGAAAATTCAGTATAGTTGCAAAACTTAATTTTATTTAATGAAACAAAATAAATCAATTCAAACTGATATGTCTTAATTTGTTAAAAAACAAGCTATTAATTTGAAATGCTCATCAGATATTACTATTATGTTTATTATTATTTTTATAAAGAATTTGGCTAATATTTTAAACAAAATTAAAGAGAGAAATATTTATTTTCATTCTATTAAATAAAATATTGACATAGAGTTAGTTAATATTATATCACATTATATAAGATTCCATGTATTTGAATCTCCCTTAAGATTAATCATTTAAAATTTAAAAAATAAAAATAATAAAAATTAGAAAGAATTAAATTAATACTATTTGATTAAAATTTAAATAATGTACAAATTGTTTATGAATAACTGATTCATTATCAGCTTGATATGTACTTTAATTTGATTTATTACAATATTATTTAACAAAACATTATCAATTTTTAGTTGAACTCTAAAATATTGAAATTCTATAAAGTATTTTTTGTTTATTTGGGTATATATAGTATTCGAAATATTAAATATTATTTATTTAAAATATTAATCAACCAAAATAAAATACATTTCAATTTTGTAATAAACAAATAGAAAAAGAAAAATAAATTTCAATATAAGACAACATTAATATTATAAAGATTCTAAAATCATAAATCTATGCAGTCCTAAAAGATTTGATCCAATTTATAATGCTAAATAAAAAAATATATAAATTATTTTATTGGATCTAATTCTTATTTTTTAATTATTTAAGTGATAGAGATGTAGAGTACAATTCTCAGATAAATGAAAATTAGGTCAAAAATAGCATAGCTCAATATTATTGTGCCTCCAATTAAGATTAACATATAGTAATTTAACTCTTAGTTACATTCATTTCTAAAATAACTTTATGTTTTTACTTGATTTAGTATTGATAAATTAATAACAAGTATGACAAAAAATGGATTATTAAATACAAAATTATTACAAAATTCTGATACTTCCCTTAAAATCTATAAATTGCTTCAAATATCTTAAGGATCATTCTTAAAATAAGCAATATTAAATAATTGATGATTATTATAGAAATAAAAGTTTCTTTTGCCATAAGAAAAGTTTCAAAGTAAGATAATGGTATTAAAATACTTAAAAAAATTGAAAGTTTAAGAAATCTGTAACTTTTTTTTATAATTACATCCTCACAGTAAAATAAGCAAATTATTTCATGAATAAACTAATTATATTAATATATTATTACTTTTATTGACATTTTGAAAATTCTCACAATACTTTGAAAATTGTAAAATCTAATAATATTCTTTTATAATTTATCCTTCACTTAAAAAGATTCAATAATTAACTAAACCTCTAATTTTTGCAATTCATAATACATAAACAGTGAAAACACTATATAAATACCATGAAATAAAAGAAAAGGTTAATTATTTAGATTACAATTAACATATTTGTTTTAAGAAATTGGTGAAATGGATTGCATATCTTTTGTATTTTCTGATTAATTTTAATATCTTGTTAAAAATATAACTCCCATTTATTAACATTAACAAGAAACCTAAATAGATGTATTATTAGTCTCCTAAATTAATAGGTTACACAATAATAGTGATCCATTATGAGAATATTGAACACATTAAAAATTATAGGCAGGTAAAATCGCTTCTACACAGTAAAAGTATTCAGTAATATCAATAATGTAATTAGATTTTAATTGTTCATAATTAATGTATTAGTTTTTGTAGAGATAGTTTTGTAATTTTGTTTATATATAAAATTGTTGATCAATTTCAAAGTAAGACTAATTCAAAAATGTAGTTAATTATTATATATGCTTATTAGAGATATTTATATAATTAAAATTTATTTCCAATTATTCTTTTTGAACAAAGACTATTAAACTATCCATTAAATCCTTTTCTAATCCTAATTATTAATTAAAAACATCTTTTGTTATTTTTGCTATTTGGTAATTTAATTATTAACCTTTCAAAGTAAATTGTTAACCATTTACCTACACTTAAGAACTTGCACTAATAGTAATTTAATCAATTAGATTAATTAATTTTTCTGTTAATACAATTATTTATTGTTTATCATAATCAGATATAATTTCGGTTTAAGAGATTTTTTTAAATATATCATCAATAAATAAAATAATAGCTACTAATTAGTTAGAAATTGATTCTTTAGATTGATATAGTAGTTCATTCATAAATATATCATTTTATTTGATTTAATCTTCTAAATCGGATCTTGTTAAGATAATTTTTTATGCAAATTTTTTTAATTTTGTAAATTCTTTTTCAAAATTGATAATGTCATCTGTGGAATACTTAAAATTTTTAGAATGGTTAATTAAAATTAATTTTGTCTTGTTATCATAGCAACTTTCTTATTCAGTTTCACTTAATTATCTTTTAGAAGATTTAAAATTATTTAATTCAATTATAAATCTCTTATATAATTTTATAGTTTGCAGTGCCAATAATTAATCAAATAAATCTTCTGAATCTAAATAGCTCTTTGTATATTCAAATAATTATTCTGATAATTTAATACATTCAGATTAATTATAATGATTCATTATAACTTCTAATAGCAACATTATTTTTTATTTATAAAACAAATTACTAAGTATAAAATCAGAACAATTAAATTTAAATTCTGTTATATTCAGATATTATTCAAGATTGGTAATTGATCCTCTTGAATCCATAATTTAAATTAAAACAACTCCATCACTTTTAGGTAAATACATATCAAAAGCATTAAATTATTAAAATTAACTAAGAACCAAAGAATAATCTGATATTTAAGTTTAAAAATCCTTATAGTCTTAATTATTTAAGAAATATCTAAATTAGTAAGTAAATGGAGAATCATCTTATAAATCACAATTTGCAACTATTTTTGATATTTGTAATGCTTAAAGACTTTAAGATCCTAACTTAATCTAGCAAATAGGAGGCTAATTTAAAGTTAATTATAGATCATATTAACTAGGTATTATATCATTTGTAAATTAAGCTAGAAATTTTAAATTAATTTAGTATCCTTTACTGAACTATTAATAATGATCGAATAAACGAAAATGATATTAATAATATTATGGTTCAAGTATCTTTATTACCTCAAAGTTATATATAATAGCAATTTAATATTGTAACAAATAAAATCTATCTTCAAAAGAAATATTAAAATCAAATTGTAATGTTTCATAATTATTTATTGGTCTTATTGTATATCCTTTACTATGTTAAACATCTAGTATTTTAAAATCATTATCTAAAAATACAATAGTATTTTTAAATTAAAATTAACGCTATTCTTTTGATGCTATGACATTCCAACTCCATATACTATATGGCTTTACAGTTAGTTTTGGGATGAATTGAATAGAATCAGTTTTATTTACTTAGAATATCTTATTATTAAAATTTGTGCAAATTCTATTTTATGTTAAATCAGTGCAGCTAACTTCTAACTTTATTTCAGGATCTTCATTCCATTCATATTAAGTATCAAGATCTTTACATTAAATATTGATATAAGAGTCTTTTCTATAGTTTTATATTTTTTTGGTTCCATTAAACTAGCAAAGTAGACCTCCTTGATTTATTTCTATCGTTATATTTTAGGTTTATGAAAAATCTGTTTAAGATTCATGAGTATCCATTTTAAATGTATAAGCAGTTTTAGGTGATAATGTGTATTTCTCTACATTCACTTCAAAATAACTTTCACTAATTATTTAAGAAGTATCTACTCTTGATGCTCTTGAATTAGAAGTATTTCTGTGAACTTCAACTAATGATACTTAATATTATGACTTATCATTCTAAATTTAGTTTGAATCTGAACAAAATTTTTTCTAAATTTTAAACTATAATGCAATTATTTCAAAAGTATAATATTATTTCTTTCCTAACCAAAGAACTGTTGGTAATTATCCAGAATGAGTTTAAACTTGAATCTGTTATTATCCTTTTTAATTGATAAAATTTTGAAATTCAACAAGAAAGGTAATTTTTGATTATTTTGGTAGAGTTTAAATAGGTATAATTAGATCTAATTATTATAGATTAGTTTGTTCTAAAACAAATTCTTCCAAATTAGCATTTCCGCTTTATCCTATTAATAAATAAGACCATGTTATGCTTATTATGCTACGTAGGCCATGTTGACTTTTTGATTTAATAAAAATAATATTATCATCACATGGATTAAGTAAATATTGAGGTATTTCATATTCAATAATTGGAGATAATAAATTAATAGGAAGTTTTACTTAATTAAAAATAAATTAACTTAATGTTGTTTAGCAGTCTTTATGACCAATAGAATAATTAATAAATATAATTGAATCTCCTGGTATTATTGTAGCATTAGACCCTAATTTTATTATTAATTATTTATCATCTTCCTAATCTAATTTACAATCTGGATTATTTCCTAACTATTTAATAGTTTCATCAGCTAAAAATTTGAAACAAATATTCTCTTAAAACTAAGATTAAAAATAATTTGGATTTAAAGAAAAATCAAATATTACTTTAATTGAAAGTAAATCATCAGAAAATCTTATATTTAAGATAGCAACTTCACAATCTATAAAATTTTAGATATATTAATATACTTGAGCACCATGGAGTATCTGTATGGCTAATTGAATCCAAAGGGCAATCACAAACTCTTTCATCTGATAACACTCTATTTCCATTACATGTTAAACAACCCTCAAGATTACAAGTTTTACAATATTGGTCACATTAAAGGCAGTTTATACTTTAATAATCATCATAAAATCCATCTTAACAATTACAAATTGGAATATTATTCCGATCTCCTTTACATAATAAGCAATGAGATTAGTTTCCTTAGCAAGTCAAACACTAAAAATCACATTCTAAATAATAATATTTTAAATTTGTTTACATATACAATCTGGTTATCCTGCTTCAAAATAGCCTTCTTAACAATCACATTATTTATTTATTCTATTGCCTTTGCAGCTTGTACAATTTGATGGTACTTATTCACATGTACTACATTAATTGTCACATGCTAAATAAATTTATATTACAATTACATTCACAAGTTTATTATTCATTTTAAAAATATCCAGCTTTGCAATTACAAGCAGGAATTCCAACTCTCAAATTACTAAAACAAATAAGACAATTTGATGATGATTAGATGCAAGTCTTACATTTATAATCACATTTCTAACATTAAAATTATACTCCATCATCATAATAACCATCTTTACAATCACAATTTTATGTAATAGTTAATCGATTAGATGTATTTGATAGTTTACAACTTATGCATTTATCTGCTCTTTAAATACAATCAGAACATTTTATATGGCACTCTAGAAATATAATAATAAATACTTTGACACACTTCATTTTCATTTTAAAAAAAATTGGTTTAACAAGGACATTTATGAATTGCAGATTGATCAATTCTATTCATATTGATATCACAACTTGTACAATAATCACTCTTTCCTTAACAGGTTAAACAAGATTTTGAACAATCTAAAAATATTAATAGATAATAATACTTTCACATATTAGTTATCCATTATCAAAATATCCAGATTTACATATACATGTATTACCATTTAATATTCTAATCTATTCAGTCTCATAACAAGACAAACATTATGATGAACTTGACTAACATGTTTTGCATAAATTACTGCATTTCTGACATATTTCAATACCAATATCAAAGTAACCATCAAAACAGAGACATTTGTTTGAATTATTAAAAACTCTAAAATAAGTTGATTCACATGTTAAACATTTTATTGATTAATTTATACATGTTTTACAAGTCACATCACATTCTAAAATTCAATATACTTAAATTACATTAACACATTTTTTGATTGGCTTCATAAAACCCATCTTTGCATAGGCATTAAAAAATATCTGGATCATGATATCTAGTTATGGGATCACATTCAATACATTATGATAAACTTTAACATTCTTTACATGTTATATTGCAGACTAAGATTAATAAAATAAAATGATATACTTTCACATTTCTTAGTTGAAATATTAAAATAATAACCAGATGTACATATACATTTATTTTAATTACTTAATTATAAATTATATGCTGGATTACATGATAAACAATATGTAGAACTACCTTAGCAAGTAAGACAACTCTAATCACATTAAATACATTAATTAGATGAATTTTCAAAATATCCATCCTTACAAACACATTAATTACCAGTTTAAAATATTCTAAAATCGTCATCTGAACAAGTTAAACAATAATTATCTTGATTGATACATGTTTTGCATTTTTGATTGCATAATAAACATTATTTATCAATCCCTGTTTCATATGTTCCTTCAATACATATGCATGTATTGTTTTATAATTATTTGAATAAACCACAAGATATGCAATTAGTCACAGAATTTAAACATGTTTAACAAGTAATATCACAATATTAACAAATTCCATTAATTTCAGTTGTGCCTATTTAACATTAACATTTATGAGTTAAATTATTTAAAATTCTCAATTAAGATTTATCACATTCAGTACAAGTTGTTGAATTAGTAATACAATTAACACAATTCTAATCACATTAAAAACATTTTTATTCTCCAATATCATAATAACTTGAATCACAATCACATTAATTTCCATTCAAGTGTCGTGTAATTGGACATTAAGTACAAATAATTGATTAATTTTAACAAGTAGCACATTTAATAGAACATTTCTTACAATTAGCTGATGTTCCATCATCATAATAACCTGTAATACATTAACATATTCCTCCATTATAAATCCTAAAAGAAATATTCTAATCTGTGCATGATTTACATTAATTTGCATCTTAATTTTAGCAATTCAAACAGGAATAATGACATTATGAGCATATCTCTACTCCTATATCATAATAATTATCATTGCATAAACATGAATTTAAAATACTATTAAATGATCTTTTTGATATTGTTGAACATGTAACACATCTTGAAGCTACTTAAGAACAAGTAAAACATGAATAATGGCATTCTATTAAATAAATTTTGTAGTTACTTTAACAAATAATATTTATTCCATCATCGAAATAGCCTTATTAGCATTAACATTAGGAATTTATTAATACTCTTAAGCTTAAAGGAGGACAAGATAAGCATAAAGTATCTAATACAGCACAGGTTTGGCATCTAAAATTACATTCTAAAATAAATCTATTTAGTACAAGAGCATTTAGCTATCCCTATATCAAAGTAATTGTTTTTACAGATGCAAGTTGTACCTAATTGAATTCTATTATCTAAGTCCCAACAAGAATCACAATCTAAAGAGAAACGTCCCTTACAAGTCAAACAAGAATAATGACAGACTAATTTGAGTTTGATATGATTACTTAAACATTATAATTTACTTGAATAAGTAGATACTGACGAACCTTAAAGCTTAGTTTTACATAGACAAGTGTTTCCATTTAAATATTTGTCTGGTTGACATGAGGTACAATTATCTGGAGAAGTTATACATTCTAAACAAAGACTGCTACAAGCTTAAAAAATTAATAGTTTAATAATTTATACCTTAACATTCTGATAGTCCTGTATCATAATATTTTTAATCACATAAACACTCACCTTATGTATTTAATTATCTTCCAGTTAATGGATTACAAGAGGTACATTAATTTGATTAATTCCCATTGCATTTCAAGCAAGTATAATGACAAACTAAAATTAATTTAAATATTACCTATGCATATTGGATTTTCAGGTTAATCATAGTATTTAGGAGGACATAAACATGAATTATCAAGTCCTAGATCTCGAAATGAGAAATCTGGACATTTATCACAATTATCGATATTCCCACTGCATGAAGCACATCGATATGAACATTCTATATGATTCATTTATTTAAATGATTACTTAAGCATATTTAATCACCAAATTGTTTTTCTAAATGACCATCCTTACAAAGACATTAATTTGCTCTAACAATTCTATTACTTTCAATTGAACAAGTTATACAATTATCGAATTGAGGACCAAAACAAGTGTTACATGTGTAATAGCATTCTTAAAATTATCAATATTTTTTACATAAACATTCTAATGAACCTACATCATAATATCCATAAGGACAATCACATTTAGATATTATTAATTATCTATAGTTTAAATCACAAGTTAAACAATTTGTTTCTTTAACTCCATTACATGTTTTACAAGTAAAATGACATTCCAAACATTCTAATGAAGATTCATCGCTATAATAATGTGAATCCTTGCATTAGCATTTAAATGTTGCTCCAATTCTATCTGGTTATCTTGTTGAAGGACAACTTGTACAAGAATCTTCTCCAGCACTAATACAATTATTACATGAATGATGACAAGCCACTAAATATTAATTTCATTATTACAATAACAAAATACATCGTTTTTTCCAGTATCATAATAAGGTATATCACATAAACATTCATTATTTGAAGTCAAATATCGATTATTTTCACTAGAACAATCAATACAATTAGTTGATAATGGTCCATTGCATCTAAGACAAGAATAATGACATTCTTAAATATTAATATTTGAGATTTACTAAAACAAATATCGACAATTCCATCTTCTCCATATCCATCTCTACATATACATTTTAGATCATCAGAAACAACTCTATTTTACCCTACTATACACATTGTACAATATTAATTTGATGAATTATCATCTGGAATTTGGCATTTTTCACATCTTGGATGACAAGCTAGATATTGTACTTAATTATTACGTTGACATAATGTGGATCCATCATTTAAGTTAATTTCAATTGTTCTTATGGCACATATACATTAACCATTTACTAACTATTTATGATAAACATTTGGATCTCCACAATCAGTACAATCATTATCAAAAGGTCCTGAACAATTATAACATGAAGGATAACATTCTAAAATACTTTATATATCTTTACTTTAACAAATTTTATCTTCTAATCCTGTTTCATAATATCCTTAAAGACAAGGACAAGTAGTTCCAATTAATATTCTATTTCTTAATGGATCACATGATGTACATTCTCCAAATTTTAATGTACATGTTTAACAATCTCCACTATTGCATAAAATACATTTTCCATTTAATTCTGCATATCCTTCAATTTAATCACAAACACATTTTCCAGGAATTATTCTTGCAGTTAATTTATTTGAATAAAAACAGGTTGTACAATAATTTGGATCTGTTACTAAACAAGTTTGACATGGAAGATTGCATCCAACAGTATAAGGAGCACACTTTTTATCATCTGTTAAATAGTGTGTTGCAAAACAACCATTACATTCATTTTCATTATGACAAATAAAACATTTTTCTAATCCTGGTTCATCTTAACAAGCTAAAATTATAAATTATATTTTAACAAGCACATCGAGTTCCTTTTTTAAAATATCCTACATCACATTATAAACAATTAGTATCAATTGGCATTCCTTCAGAATCATATATGTAATCATATTTCATACAATTCCTATCTTCAAAACATAAAGCATTTTTTAAAGTATAAGGCCACATACATTACGAACACACTCCTGAAGAACATACTTTACAATTATTTGGACATTCTAAATTTAAAAATATTAATCATACAAACACATTCTCCATTTAATAATTCATAACCATTAATACATCCATTAAATGAGTAAACAGAATCAATTAATTAGCAAGTTTTATGACCTGTCTAGCATGCTTTAAATTATTATAATATCTACTTAAAGTACATTTTAGATCATTACTATCTAATGGAGACTGACCATCTATGCAGCTGGCACACTATGAATTAGTTGTATCACATGTTTTACAATATTAACCGCATTCTATAGATATAATTTATAATTTTACTAAGAGCATATGGAGATGTAGCACAATTTTGGCCATAATTGGCTCCACTACAATATATACATTTATAAATTCCAGAATACTTTTAACCAATTAAGCAACCATAATTATATAATGAGGATTTAGCTTCAGTTGTAAAGATTAAATTTCCATTTGAATCATATGAGTATATCATTACATAAGGCCACCATCCTAAAGCTAAATGAGTATCAGAATTTCCGTATAGTACATAGCCTTTTATTTATGGATGACACATGACTTCTCGATCGTTAACTATTAACTGTCTTAATTCAGTTGTCCCACCACAGTCCCTTGGAACGCCTTAAATTACATAATTAAGTTACCTGCACACATATGAGGATGAATGCCTGGCCAATATTAATGATGATAAGGACAAGACCTTTGAAATATCTCCTTATTGAACTGGTTTTTAAAAGATCTAAAGCATAAACTCACTTAGAATAGCTGAATTATTATTAACCTGATAATTATACTCATCCTATATATCTATATTTAATGATTTTAATAATGAATTTTTAGATATGTATCGGTAAGAATTAATATCATATATTTAGTTTGATAACCCTTATAAAAGATAATCAGAAAATAATATTAGTTGAGTGAAAATGTTTCATCTGCAAATTCTCTATATATTTTATTTCAAATTTCTGATTTCTTAATGATAATTTCTTTACTAATCAAAATTAGCAATTCTTTTTTCAGACTGATATTATTTTTAGAATCACTCTTTTTTTAATGTTCTATAGATGACCGTGTTGTTCTAATATGATGGTTTCTTTAAAATTACAACTATAAAATGAAATCTAAATCTTAATCATATCCATATATAATTATTTGATCAATCATATATTTATTAAATTAAAAAATTTTTTGTTTTAACAAAATAAGTAAAATGGATGGTTTCTTAAGAGAAGAAATCAATTATGATACTATTTAGGATTAAAGAGCACTTTTAATATAAATTGAGATCAAAGAAGAAAGATTAACAATTGAGAACTGATCTATTAAGCTCAATTAATATTAATTTATAATATAGTTTTAATTATTTAATCCAAATATTTTAATTAATTTTTAAAGAAAACAACAATCATTTTTTTATTTGAAAATAAATAAATTATTCTAAAATATTTTATTTAATCATTAACAATTTCTCTATACCATATAGTATGTAGTCTAAGTAAAATATAATTTAAAATCATTTAAGATAAATAATTCTATTAAAATACATGTTTTAATTTATATTACACTCAATAAGTTTATTAATTTATTTTATCAATTTTTACTGAAAATATTTTGATTCTGGAAAGCATTTAGGATATAAATTTTAGTTTTATATTCCTAATTTTTACCTAGACATCTAACCATGCCACATTTATAATTATTCATTAAAAAAATCATTGAAATATTTTCTAACCTTATTATTAAGTAGGTAACTATATTTATAGGATAATACTATAAAACTGTTATAAAAAATATATAATGAGAATATAGTTATCATATAAATACTTGAAAATTAGCATTAATAGAAAATAATATTATCCAAATGAATTCAATCATTTTTAGACCTCTTTTCAAAGGAGAAAATACAGCTTGTATGAAAAAAAGTAAATTAACAGATAAAAGTTTCAAATAGTAAATTAAGATTTATACACAATAATAATTTAATGGAGAGGAGATAATAAGATAGAAATTTCATTATCATTAATGGATATGTAACGAAAATGTTATAAATTTGTGAAAGAATATGTAAATTAAATTTAAGTCTAAAAATTCAAATTTTTTATAGTTTTCTTAATATGGATTATGAAATATGAATAAGATTAAACTGATTGATTAAAAAAATAGATTAATAAACTTGGTTTCAATTATGAAGGAAATGATTTAAAATTATCTTTTTTAAATCCTAAGATTATAAAATTTTTAGTTATTTTTCTTTAATAATTTTGAGATAAAATTAAAATTAATATAGAATTTTTGGGGAATTATTTAATTAGAGACATTCAATTAGTTTTATTAATTATATTGAATATGTTAAAGTTGTATAAAATTTAAAATTATTGAATGATGTTGAATATATTTTAATTTAAGTTCTATATTAATATAAAATTTCTTATATTTATTGAATAGTTATGGTGTTTAATTTATTTATCATTAATAGTATTAGCAAGAATAAAATTAGGAAATAGTAAAAAATGGCTTCAAACAATTAAAAGCATTTGATCAATGATTCTACTGGAAATCAACATCAGAGTGTATTAGATGTTCTGAAATAAATGAGAAGAAATAAAATGAAAATACTTTAAAAAAGATTATTTTTCATCTTAATAGTAGAGATACTTGGAATGAGTGGTAAATTATATTTCAATAAGATTTATTTAGTATAAATATTAGCATTATCATTCAAAAATTGGTATTAGTTTTAGATAGAAGAAAAAGAAGAAATATGGATTTAACTAATTTATATTGAATAATATATAAGATATTCAGAATTTTGTGAAAATATGAATGTTACTAATAATTTATTATGTAGTGATATGAGAGATGTGGGATTTATTTGTTTTTGTTTTATCGTATTTGCAATTTTAGTTTAAGTAAGGATATTGAATATACAGATTTTAGAAGTTATTCGTCTAATTATTTATTTAAAAAAAGGAAATCCTTGTGTATTATGTAAATTGAAAGGCAAATTACTTCAAGTAATATTTATTTTACTATTGATATGTGGATATGTTGGATATTTTTTCACAATTCTTTCTTTATTTTAATATAATCAAAGTAATCCAATTGATTTAGCCATATTTAGAAATAAAATACTTTGGATTTTCATTTTGGATGGGTGCAGGATCAATAATAGGATTGATTTTGATATCATTGTATTATAGAAAAACCAAAGGGTCTTTAAGTAGAAATAATTAAGTTCAAAAATATTTACTATTTGATAATGGTAAGGTTGAATTTTCAAATATTGTCGAATGAATTAGACTATGAATTATTTGTAATGAGTATATAACTCTAACTTTAAGTAGTTTTTTGTTTTAATTTTATTAATTTTATATGCAAAAAAAAAATAATTAATTAATACTGTCACCCAGTGGTTTGGGAAGTAATATAAAGCCTGGATTGTTTTCAAAGCATTGTGAACTAAATAAATTGAATAAATAAAAAAGTTTTAAGATTGAGGAGACTCTTACACCAAAACTCTTTGAAACAAGAGAATCAAGCTTTGCTCCTTAACCAAAATTATAAAAAAGTTAAAGGTATTCATTAATATATTATAATTATAGTGCTTCTCGTTTGCTTTTGCCTAAAGAATAAAAACAAGAAAGAGTAGAAAGATAAGAAATACAGAAAATACCATCTATTAAATAGGATTAGATTACTGAGCTATCATAAAAATTATATCGAGAGCTTATAGAATTTAATGAATAGGCAGATTTTGGAGGATAAAATGAAATTTAGTAGTGGAGTGAAGAAATGATCAAAAAATTGTAAATCATTAAAAATAGTTTGGAATGTATAATATTAATAATATATAAGAATCTGATATTTTTGATAATCAAGATAATGTGACTGAAATTTAACAGTATTTATTATAATATTTTAAGAAATGATATTATTTAGAATTTATAAAAGGAATTAAATGATGAGAGGAAAGAAAGATATAAAATTGAAGAAGAAGCAACCAATTTAATAACTGAATAAGAATTAGAAATTGATAAATTAGAGAAGCAATTAAAAATGCTAGAAGAAAAGCATGCTTCCTGATAATTTCAATTAATTAAGTTAATTATATATATATATTTATAATACACATATTAATAAATACAGAAACTTCAAAGTAACAATGCAGATTCATTTACATTTAATGCTGTTTCTGTCTTTTTAAGCAAATTTATATATGTTTCAATTTGATTTTATTCTTAATTTAAGTCTTTTAAGGCTTAATCTTCTTTAGATAAGATTTTTTTGTCTGATAATTCATCAAAATGTTCTTATTGTAAATAAGTTGGTCTTATTGACATAAATCTAATAAATAAAATATAATATTACTTATAAAATGATGTAATCACAGCTAATGATGATGTCAGTAAAGTTATTATAATATTCCATTTTAGATCACCATTTTTAATAGCTTATTTTACTAGAAATATAATTAGAATAATAATTTATGGTAAATCTTCAAAAAGAAATTAAATTAAATATCCTTTTATTGAAGAATTAATAGCTTTTCCTGCTTAATTAGGCATTAAAAATCTCATAATAAAATTATTAGGAATTATATCAACATTAAATGGAGCAACCTAATCTAAAATTAAAGCAATAGCTTAATTTTTGCCTGCTAAACTAATACGATAGAAATCATTTATATATTGAGTTGACAATTATTTTATTTAAATATTTCGATTAAAGATAGTTCTAAATATTTGAATGAAAAAACCAATCACATTCAAACCTTAATTAAAGATTTGTAAAGCTAAAACAAGATAAAATAATATATATTCATCACAATAATAGCAAGTTAAGATAAAGCAAATATCATTGAATTAATCATATTTTGCAAGCTAACTTGTAACAATATTTTTTGTAAAACTAATCCAAAAGGCTTAACTTGAATTATTAAATTTATCAAATTATGTTTATGCACTTTTCAAAACAGATCCTTACTTTTAATATACACTTTTTTATTTTTCATCATTTTCTTTTTATTATTATATTTAACTATCTTCATTAGGATAAATTTAAATGGCTAATTTTTCAAAAAAAGTTGGAACATGTTAAATTATGTTTTTATATATATATGCTTCTAAAATCAAAGAAACTCCAGCAAATGAATAATATAAATAAAATGCCACTTAATTAGGTTGATTAATACAATAATCATGTCTTGCAGATGCAGTAGAATCACCTTAATAATAATGACTAAAACCATATGGAGCAATTAAACATATTGCTAAAAATAATATGTTATTTATAACAAGGAAGAAAAAGTAAATTTATTTAGTAGATAAAAATTTGTTTAAATTAGTAACTTCATTATTAAATTTATACTGTTTTGTTTATTATACAAAAGCATCACAAATTTTATATAAGAATTTCTTAAATATCTTTCTACAACCAATAGGTTTCATATTGTAAGCTAATTCTCTTAAAGCATAACCTATACCAATATTTAAAAAGTTATCAAAATCATATTATATAGATGAATATTCAAAATGAGTAGTATCATAAAAAATAGAATAAATTGCTTTGATTGCTTATAAAGTTAAAGTATTTTAAATTCTAATTTTAGAAGGTGGAATCAATCTAATTAATTATACAATATCAGCTTCTGTATAACCTAATCTAAATAATTCATCAATTAAATCATCATCTAAATAATAATCCATAATTATTTGATCAA